TGTAGAATGCTGCTAACAGGGTAGATTCAGTTCCTGCACTGGCTGAGGTTGCTATGAAGGATTCTCCTCTCAACCTCTCTCCTCACTTGAGGCATGGTGACCCTCAGGTTTAACCACCACCAGGTCAGCCCTGTCTCTGAGAGAGCAGCACTATGGTCTGCTAGGACGAGGGCGACTTTACCTTTTATCTTGCTATCCTACAACACTACTTTGAAAAAGAGCAGGGTAAGTCTTTTGGTGTCCCGACAAATATTTCTTCTTCAGCCAACAAACATAACTAAACAGAGATTACCTGCTCCTTCACTGATTGCTGTTTGTGGGACCTTGTGATGTGCTAATTGGCTGCTAACATAAGAACCGTGGCAGCTTGATAGGTGCTTATAATGTCCTGGAGATGTGACGTGAGTGAAAGTTGATTATTGCCGTGCAAACGAAGTACTTAGTTCCTCGACTGCATGTTTTTGTTCTCGTCTTTTTTGTACGGCTTGTATGGATTGCTTTTTTTTTGTCAGTCTTTAAATTTACCCATTCTTGGGTTGGCAGGACTGATGTCTGAAGAGGAACTGAAGTTAAGAGAAATCTCATAGAAACCTATAAAATTCTGTTTGGAATAGACAGGGTAAATGCAGGAAAATAGCTCCCAATGACCAGGGGCTCCAAGAGTCAGCATCTAAGGCCATTTAGGACTGAGAGGAGGAGAAGTTTATAAACCCAGTAAGTGATGAGCCTGTGGAATTCTCTGCCAGAGAAAGTGGTTGAGGCGAAACATTGTTTTCAAGAAGTACTGAAGGCTGAACAGATCAAACAATACGGGGAATAGTATGGTGGCTCAGTAGTTAGCACTGCTGCCTCACAGCGCCAGTAACCTGCGTTCAATCCCAGCCTTAGGCGACTGTATGTGTGGAGTTTGCATGTTTTCCCCGTATCTGCATGGGTTTCCTCTGGGTGCTCTGGTTTCCTGGCACAGTCCAAAGATGTGCAAGTGAGGTGGATTGGCCATGGGAAAGACCGGGTTATGAGTCTGGGCGGGAGGCTCTTCGGAGGGTTGATGCGCACTTGATGGGCTGAATGGAAAAAAAAAACAGGGGCGGCACGGTGGCTCAGTGGTTAGCTCCACTGCCTCTAAGCACCAGGGACCCAGGTTCCACCCTCTGGTGACTGTCTGTGTGGAGTTTGCACATTCTCCCCGTGTCTGCGTGGGTTTCCTTCTACAGTCCAAAGATGTGCAAACTAGGTGGATTAACCATGCTGAATTGCCTATACTGTCCAGGGATGTGTAGGTAAGGTGGGTTATAGGGGGATGGGTCTGGCTGGGATGTCTGCGGGTTGGTGTGGATTGGTTGGGCTAAAGGGTCTGTTTCCACCCTGTAGGGATTCTATGATTCTAATGTCTTGATTGCAGAATCCTGCTGTCACTTCTTTCCAGTCCAATCAGAAGCAGATTAAAATCTTGGAACACCATAATGGAATGCTATGCCTATTTCTTGTATTTACATAAGCTCCTTTTAATGCAGGAAGGCATTCCAAAGAACCTCACAGGGTAAGAAAACAAATGGATGCTAAGCTAAGCAGGGATGAGGAGGAGAAAGCCAGAAACTTGATCCGAGATTTGGGTTTCAAGGATTTCTTTAAAGGAGGATAGAGAGGTGGAGAGACAGGAAGATGGAGTGATTGAGTACTGGTCACCTCTACTGGTGGACTGACACATGTGAGAATGAAACGAGAGCAATTGAGAACTTGAGAGAAGTTTCTAATTTGTACCTTGCTTCAGGTGTCACATGTCAAATAATGAAACTTTTAATTTTTGGCAACTGTATAGATCCATTTATGCATGATAAAAATGGTATTAGTTCATTTTCAGCATAACTGGGGATTTAAAAGTCCAAATCCTTTTTTTAAAAAAATATTTTTGTCTGTCAGTAGGTAGTGAATCTGTGGAATTCTTTACTACAGAGAATTGTAGAGGCTGGGTTGTATTTCTGTTTAATTCCTTTATGGGATGTGGGCATCGTTGGCAAGGTCAGGTATTTATTGCCTATTCCTAATTGCACAGAGGGCAGATAAGACTCAACCACATTGCTGTGGGTTTGGAGTCACATGTAGACCAGACCAGATAAGAATGGCACTTTCCCTCCCTAAAGGACATTAGTAAACCAGATGGGTTTTTCCAACAATCGACAATGGTGTCATGGTCATCATTAGATTTGAACCCTGGTCCCTAGAGTATTACCTGGGCTTCTGGATTAACAGTCCAGTGATAATACCATCAGTTCAGGCAGCATTCTGCTCCTTTTGATGCTGGCTGGCCTGCTGTGTTCCTCCAGCTCCACATTGTTTTGACTCTGACTCCAGCATCTGCAGTTCTTGCTGTCTCCGATTAATTCCATTCGGCCTTGCCTTCCCGATGTACTTGTTAATTATATTCAAGGCTGAGATAGATTCTTAATGAATAAGGGAATCAAGGATTATGGGGAAAAAGCAAGAAAGAGGAGTTGAGGATTATCAGATCAGCTGGGATCTCATTGAATGGTAGAGCAGACTTGATGAACTGAATGATCTAATTCTACGCCTACATCTTAAGATCTTTTTGTCAATTGAGCTGACTTCAATCTTGCTTTAAGAATTGGTTTAAAAGACGTACAGGAATTGTTGGCGGTGATTCTCTTACTGTGGTGAACTACTTGGCACTAGATTTCCTGTCATATCTCCACCCACAGCATGTTTTGAGAATTGGAATTTACAATCTTTATTGGTAGAGTTCTGTTCACAACTCGACTTGAATCAAATATACTAGTTGATCATCTTATATTCAGATTAACAAGTACAATAAAAGTTTTCCTCATTTATAATCAGTAGAGTGTGGTGAGGAAAGGAGAGGAAGTGATTTTTTTTCAGTGTGTGGCCCTTGAAATATTTGAAAAGCCTGGTAGCAGTATTCTGTCTCCTCTTTGAGTCACGGAATGATGAATAACATTACTCTAATATTTATTTGTTCCGTGTTACTGAACATTTGCTGAAATATTTTGCATGTGATGTGCAGAGTCCCCAAGGCATTGCTTACTGTGAGCCAAAGAACATACCAAAAATACTGTTTAACTTCCATAACATGTCAAAAAAGAAAGGTCTGTATTTATTTTGTGGCTTACCTAGCAGCAGTACAAAAGTATTTGTGTTCTGCATCTAACATTATTTAGTGCAGTTACCATTATGTATGTGATCCCTTAAAGAACAAGGGACAACGAAGAATTTAGTTGTTTTTCAGAATGTTTATTATTTATTCATAGATGTCGTTATATATATATTAATGTTATACATTTGGGGATGTAGAGACCAATTTTTAAAAAAAAATGTAGGCGATACAAAACTTAAACACATTTGTAATTTTTTAATAGAATCCCTGCAGTGTGGAAACAGGCCCTTCAGCCCAACAAGTCCACACTGACCCACAGAGCATCCTACCCACCTAATCTACGCATCCCTGAACACTATGGGCAATTTAGCATGGTCAATCTACCTAACCTGCACATCTTTGGACTGTGGGAGGAAACCCACGCAGACATGGGGAGAATGTGCATACTCCACACAGACAGTTGCCTAAGGGTGGAATCGAACCCAGGTCCCTGGCGCTGTGAGGCAACAGTGGTAACCACTGTGCCGCCCAAATCTGTAATGTGTAATGTAGGTAGGGTTAAACTTGAGAAGATGCTCTTGGAATGGAGATCCTAATCTCCAAATGCTAAAATTATGGATTACTGTGCAGCAGTGATCCTTGCACTCCTGTATGTTTTAGAAACTTGGACATCTTCCAGCAGGCATCTCAAAACATTGGAGAAGTACTATAAGTGGTGCTTTTGCAAGATCCTTCAAATCTGGTGGCAAGAGTGGTGCTCCGACGGCAGTGCCCACTACCAACCCGATATACCCAGCCGTGAGATGGTAATCATGCAAAACAAGATCTGCTGATTGGTACTTGCCTTTCAAATGAATCTCAAAAGAGCTGTCCTACTCAGTCATGGCAGGAGGCTCCATGGGAAACGGGGAAGATGCTTCAGGGATATTCTCAAAACATGCCTGAAGTAATCAAACATCCTCACTGAAATCTGGGAAACCCTGGCTTGAGATGAACCAAAATAGAGAAGGTTTACTCAGAAAGATACTGAAGGGCTTTGTCAGGAGCACAAGGAGATGAGGTTGAGGTATTGTAGAAAGGACATAAAATTCCAAACACATCATCTGCACCCCATATGGCAGAGTCGTAAATCATGCAGACCATCCTCAATCCCGAAGTACCCCAGCAAAAGAAGATTACATTTCAAAAGGATGCAGGTTTTTGAAATGAATGCACAGGTGGCAGATGAAATGTGATACAGACAAACATGAAGTCAATCATTTTGGAAAGAAGGACAAGACGCAATATGCAATATGAGGTACAATTCTAAACAGGATGTAGAAACAAAGGGGCCTGGGGTATGTGTATACAGACCTTAGAAGATGACAGGACAGGATGGGAAACAGGTGATGAAGGGTACTGGATCCTGGACTTTATAAATATGGGTACACAGTACAAAAGCAAAGTAGTTTTGATAAACTTGCGGAAAACACTGGTTCAACCTCCACTATTGTGTCCAATTCCATGCCCCCCTGTTTTGTAAGGATGTGAAGACAATGGCAAAGATGTAGAAAAGATTGACAAGAATGGTTCAAAAAATGAGAAACATCAGTTATGTGAATTGATTGGAGCAGTTGGGTCTGATTTTCTTAGGGAATAGAGGCTATGAGGAAATTTGATTGAGATCTTTACAAACATGAGGGTTGTGGTCAGAATAGATTGAAATATTGGGAAATAAAGGATACCAATTCAATGTAATTAGCAAGTGAAGAATGGTGAAATTAAATTCTCACATAGGTTTCGTCTTTATGCTGTAATCATTCTGTGATTCTATAACTCGATGCATGTAAAATGCTTTACATCTAATTCTGAGCATTGAATTTAATTTCAGTGTTCCAACAAAATGACTGTAGGAGGCAGTCTCTGCTTGAAAGACTTCTTGATGCTGTTAAGCAGGTAAATAAATTTTCTGTGCATCTTTACAATAATGTTCATTCATAAGCCAGAAAGTACTTGACAGGTTAATAAGATCAGAAAATACTGGAAACGCTCAGTTGGTCAGTCAGTATCTCTAGTGAAACACCTGTGTTAATATTTCACAGGGAAAAAAGATCAACTCTCAAAGGTGCAGACTCTCAAGTTCTAAATTCTGAAATGCTGATTCATTGAAGAGTTTACAGAAGGCAATTTGCAATTGAGATTTAGTTGAAACTTAACCAAAATTAGCTTAATTGGTAATCTAGGCATGACTTGCATTCATTCAAAGTGGAAATTCTTGACTAGACTCCTTAACAAAGTCCACTAATCAGTTTCAACGCTACCTTTCATATGTGTATAAAACAGTAAACTGTTGGATTATTCCATTAGTGTCATGCAGTTCATTATATTAAAGCTTCCACATTTGCAACCATGCAGATTTTGTCAGAATGCATACTTCTATATCATTTCTAATAAAAGTCCACATTTCACTTTACTTTTTCACAAATATTTTGACTGTTTTTGTTAAAAGAAGCTTATCCAAAAATGTTGGTTGCAGGCTTTTGAAATCTTCTGAATTTTAATTCTCTTTGGAACTGTGTTAAAATCTGTTTCAGTTGTATTTCGGATGAGTACTTTTCAGTGACTTAGTTCGTGGTTACTGTGCAATAAGTAATTCTCGTATTGGAGGAAAGTTACAGTATTTTCACTTGCTCATAGAAAAAGTCGTTTTCAAGTACTTCTGAAATGTCACTTTAAGATAGTGGAAATGATTTTTTTTTATAAATGTCCAAGACTATTTTTCTTTTATGAAATTTGTATTTTCCACAAAATGCCACATTCATTAGAGTAACTAAAATAGAGCATATTTATTGCTAAATCAACCGCATGCATTTCGAAAACATTTTGATTTAGTACTATTTGTATACACATACAAAAATAATTTGCTAACTAAATTATTGGGTCACTTGCTCTTGTGAGAGCATAAATAACTTTTTTGTGCTTCTTTCACAGAGTGCTGTTAATAGAATGTTGGATTTTTAAAATTCTTTTTATGTTTGTAAAAGAATTAGGTTCTAATCACATTTAAATTGTAATGTGAATCCTAATTTTATTCATTTCATCTGCTTAAAACTTTTGGAATAGCAGTGTTTCAAAGGATTACTTTGAATCACTCATATTGTGACAAATTGATCTTTATTATATGGTGAAATAGCAAAACAATTCTGATCATCTCAGATGCTGTTAATATAATCGAAGGATGTTTTGTGACTTAGTGGGCAGTATCTCTGTCTCCTAGCTCGGAGAATGTTCAAGTTGATGGATGGTTGCCAATCGAAGGGGACTGTTTCGTCTTGAATAGTGTTCAGTGTTGAGTGTTGTGGGAGCCAACTTCCTGCAGGCAAGTGAAGAGTATTCTTTCACACTGCTGACTTGTGCCTTGCAGATAATGAATGGGTTTGGGGAACTGGGAGATGAGTTACTCAGTTCAGAATTTCCAGCCACTTACCTGCGCTCATAACTGTGGTATTTATATGGCTGATTCAGTTCAGTTTCTGGTCAGCGGTAACTGCTAGACTGTTTATAGTGGGGAATTCAGCATTTGTAATGTCAGTGAATGTCAAGGGGCTGTCGGTAGATTTTGTCTTGTCAAAGATGATTGTATGGCATGAATCTTACTTGCCACTTCTCAGCTAAAGTTTGAATGTTACCCACGTCTTCCTGCATGTTGACACAGTGTCTGAGGAATCATAAACGTGACTGAACGTCGTGCAATCATCCGTGAGCGTCCTAACTTGTAATCTAATGAAGGGAGGAAGATCAGTGATGCAACAGCTGGAGTGGTTGGACTTTGGGCACTACCTTCAGGAACTCCTATAGCAATGTCCTGGAACTGAGATGATTGGTCTCTGCAAACCACAAACATCTTCCTTTGTGTTAAGTATGATTCTAACCATTGGAGAGTTTTACCCCTGGTTCCCACTGCCTCCAATTTTGCCAGGGCTCTTTGACGCCACAGCTGGTCAACTGCGAGCTTAATGATAAGGGCAGAACTCTCATGTCCCCTTCTTAAATTTAGCTCTATGTTCATATTCATACCAAAGCTTTAATGAGACATGGAGCCATGTTCCTGGTGGAACCCAAACACTGTTGTTGTTTTAGTGTATAATTGCTGCCTTTTTTTTTGCTCACACCAGCATTTATTGTCCATCACCAGTTGTCCTTGGAAAAGATGATGGTGAACTGCCTTCTTGAATTGCTGCAATCTGTTTGGTGTAGGCACCCCTGCAGTCCTGTTAGAAAAGGTGTTGCAAGGTTAGTACCCAGTGACTGTGAAGGAACGGCAATAAAATTCCAAATCAGGATGGCGTGTGCCTTGGAGGGAAGCTTGCAGGTGATGGTGTTCCCATGTGGCACATGCCCTTATCCTTCTTGGTGGCAGATGTCACAGATTTGGAAGGTGCTGTCAAAGGAGCCTTGGTGAGTTGTTAGATACATCTCATAGATGATAGACACTGCTGCCACTGTGAATTGGGGTGGAGTGAGTGAATGGTCAGTGTGTCTATGTGAAGCCAGTCAAGAGGGCTACTTAGTCTTGAGTATTGTTGGAGCAGGTCTCATCCAAGCAAGTGGTGAGCATACTGTCACACTCCTGAAGTTCTGACTTGTGCCTTGTCGCTGGTTGAAAGGCTTTGAGGAGTCAAGAAGTGAGTTAAATGCCAAGAATTCCTTGCCTTTTACCTGCCCTTGTAATTGTGACTATTGCTTTGCTCATTATGGTACTGTGCTCAATTACTGTAAACTTTTTTTGATGTGCTGAATTTTATGATTGCTAATGTTATATTTTGCATGGTTTCAGTTAGTCTTTAGGCATACTCTTTAATTTGTGTAGAATTGTTTGGAAAAGACCTTAAATGATAAGTTAGTTGTGGAGACCCTCCTATTTCACCTGAATTAACTTTGGCGTTGTTCCTAAACCACCTGATCTGTTAACGTTGTTTATTGGTGCATTGCTTCAACTTCAGAACAATTTCTTCTGTCACATCACTCCCTCGCTGTTGTTTCCAAGGTGACCACAGAAAATCTCAGTTTCAAACCTGGTATTGTAATATAAGGCTGTCAGCCCTCCAAATATGATTATAGACTGAGATAACAGCTTGATCATGCTTTTCCATTTTTGTTACACAAAATCTATCTGCATTGAGAGATTTTTTTCTCTCTTTGCTCCGAGCCGTTGTTCTCTTGCTTCTGCTTCCATTCTTTATTATTCAAATATGCAGTCTCTAATTCTCGGGAGGTTTGGATGATTGGCCACATGTTGAAGTATAGTAATAAGTCTTTTTTTTTAGGGGCATTTACTGGATAATGTTTCTCTCATTGTGTATTCATTGCAATGGTAGAATGTGATGCATAAAGTTGTCGAGTCTGTTTAAGGATATGATTTGGCTGAATGCTACAGTACTAAAACCAACCTTTCAGATATTGAAACAGTTGAATGATAATTAATTGGTACTATTATATTATAGGCTTCTGAGAAGTAAAAAATTCTTCTGTTTTGATTACATGAAGCTCTTCTCTGCATTTATGATTCGTCATCCCCTTTCCTTTTTCAAATATAGTGCCAAATTCGCTTTGGAGGAAGAAAAGAAATTGCATCAGACACTGACAGTCGGTAAGAGAAACACTACTTTCTTCTTGACTTGGTGATTATTTATCTCTTGGTTTGTACGATATATTGCCAACATTTTTGTCTTCCTTGTAGATTTGCAGAATTTAGTTGTTCTATTTATTAGTATTGAAGAAGTATATTTTCAGTTGTAGAGAGTACTTTTAAAACTTGTTTGTAATTTGTTATATAGACTTCAAGCCACTTTCCCAACTGGGTCTTGGCTGTGAGTCCAAAGATCATGAATTCAAGCCATGCTTGAGTTGGGTATGTGATCTAGGTTTAGTTCATTACTTGTTATATTTTTGGAGATATCTTTTAGGTAAGACATTGGACTGAGGACCTAACTGTCCTATCAATGGACTTGCTATGACAGTATTTAAAAAGAAGCATGGGCACCCTCCCAGTGTCCTCCCCAATGTTTATCCTTCAACTCTACATCTGGTGATTAATTATGCAACAGTGTGTGGAAGACCTTGATACACACAATTGTAAGATTGTGAAAGGCGCTGTATAAATTCAAGTTTTTTTTTTTTCTTTCCTCGTTCTATTAATTTTAGCAATGACCTGTTTCTGTATGTGATAAAGCAGTTCATTTTATTGTGGATTGATGTTTTTGCAATTTCTCAATTTCACATGTCCGTATGAATTTTAGAAATCAGGTCAGCCTTTAAACCCGACTGAAATAAATCCATCTTGCAATCCTCCTTGACGTGGAACTGCCCAAAACACAAACCCAAAATCTGTTAGTATGGAGCTGGTGGAATACAGCAGGCCAGGCAGCATCAGAGGAGCAGGAAAGTTAACGTTTTGGGTCAGACCCTTCCTTAGAAAATCTGAAAAAGGGCCCTGACCCGAATTGTCAACTTTCCTGCTCCTCTGCTGCCTGGCCTGCTGTGTTCCTCCAGCTCCGTACTGTGTTGTCTCTGGCTCCAGCATCTGCAGTTCTTGCTAACCCCAAAACCTGATGTTGTGTTTGTTTGTCAGCCTCCTTTTGCTGGGTGATTGTTAGATTTGGATATGTTTCACAATTTTGAATTTCTCAGAGGAGACCCCATTTTGAAAAATTGTGCAGCATGGTCCATTTAGTGCTCTCTGATAAGCATGGTTCTTAAAAACCAGTGAAGAATAAACTACTTTGCAGAATTGTAACAAAACAGAACTTTGATCAATGCTGTTGAGTTGGGAGCTTGGGTATAAGGTTTGACCAGAAAAGGCTCAACAAACTGACTTGTATTTGTATTACCACACTTGTAGATAGAGTTGACGCAGTCTATCAGATTGTTGGGACATCTGTGTTCATGAGAAAAAAGGGGCGTTCTAGAGTTAATAGTAACTGTTGCATGGCTATTTTCAGGAAAATAACATTTTTTTTTGTTGCATTCTCCAGAAAATGCAGTGACATACTTTATGAAACTGTGTGCATTTTGATTGCATAGTGATTGAAAAAAACAAACATTGGAACATTTAGATTTTTCAGTATGTACTTACACTGGAAGTATGTAGTTGCAGACTGAATGAGTTAATTTATTGCTTAGGCCTGTGTATGGAGGCTGAGGGTAAGGCAAAAAAAATCACTGGCTATCTTGCTATGCCAGAAGCTAAAGACCAACCAAGAGTGTTTTGATCACAAAGTAAAATTATTTTGTAAGGAACAAACACAAAATTTAAAGTTCTAATAACTGGAACGATTCTTATTTGATTTAAAACTTTTTAGTGATGCAGGTTACACTATTGTAGTTTCAAAATTCAAGTTATAATTACACTTCATCAGAAAATAATTTCCTGATGTGTTTGTGCATTTCTTCAATGTGAAGCATTAAAATGTCCATAGTGCTAGAACAGTGCAACTAGTTGTAAGCCTGACTATAATTGTTTTTTAAGTACATTCAGACATCTTAGACTAAAGTTAGAGAAGGTTGTTTGGAGCTCCATAATTTAAAATAATATAAATTAACAGTTTTTGCATGCTACGTGAATGTCCCTTTTCTCATGAACACAGATTGTCCCACCAATCTGATAAACTGTGCCAATTCTATCTACAAGTGAGGTAACACAAATACAAGCCAATTTGTTGAGTCTTTTTTTGGTCAAACCTTATTCCACCTCAACAACCCTGATCAAAGCTTTGTTTTGTTATAGTTCTGCAAAGTAGCCTTCTTTGTCCTGGTTTTTAAGAATCAGACTTATCAGAGAGCACTAAATGGATGATCTTATGCAATTTATTTCATACCTGAATTTTATGTTTGAATCACAATGTGTTATTTACTCACTCCTCAAATTTGAGCTCATTATTTAAATATTTTCTAAACCAAATGTATTGATGTTTTTAGTAACATAGAATAGACAGTTTAGCACAGGAACAAGCCCTTCAGCCCATTATGTCTGTGCCAACATGTTCCCTGCTCTTTCTCAAAGAATGACATTTCTTGCAAATTACTTTTACATCTCAAGTTTCAGCTGGTGTCGTCTTCAACAAAAATGGAGCTTTTAAAGGTTTTGCCTCTAAACAAATTAGTTTGTCATACATTTCACTTGTTCTATTAACAGGGTCATCTGCCTGTGTGCTCAGTTTGAGACTGTGTTACAACACGGTTTACGGAGAAGCAGAGGATTAGCTCTTACAGCAGCTGCTATCAAACAGGCAGCAGGATTTGCCAATAAAACTGAAACAGGTAATTGAATAAAATCTACCAGCAGGCTTCCATTTTTAATTTAAATGTTTTCGCAATTGAATTGCTACAGCCTTTGGGCTATGTAAACATAATTTTTTAAATGCTTAAGTATGATATTATTAGAAATTTTGAACAAATATCTGCTTTAATAGTTCTCAAATTATTTTGTGTCTAAGCTAGAATTGCTAAAATTAGATTTCTTCAAGGTACAAATGTGGTAAGGTCCAAATTGTTCTTGTTTACAGATTTGCAGGGAGCCTATAAGTTAGTTCTCAACACATGGCTGTAAGCCCCATCCAGTTCTTTAGTAACTTGATTGTAGCTCTTTGACCTTTAGGTCGGGTATCATTTGAGACACTTCTCTGGGCAGGTACAGTCATGTGTGTTGAACACAAGTATCCTCTCACTTGTAAGTGGCAAGCACACTTTTAATGAATCAGGATACTGGAGTGTGGACAAGGGTAGTCTGAAGAGATCAGCTGACAGCTTGATGAATTCCACTTAAACAAACTAAAGATGGCAAAAGTGTTGAGTGAAGGCACCAAGCTGATTTTCATTGTCATCTTGTTGCTGATAATGAAGTTTAATGTTTCTGACTTGACATTGTAGGTATTTGTGAAATGCTGATTGTCGAGCTTAAACTCATCCTATATGTGGACTTCGATCTAGGTTGTATCACATCATTAAAATAATTGGGTTTACTTGTTTTCTTTGATTATTAACTTATTCCTTAAAGTGTATACCAATATGGGAGAGTGGCAGTGAAAACATACTATTGTTTTGTTTCGTGAATTCATTCCAGGGATGGTGATGGTGGTATCTGAGACATTGTTTGTAAGGTATGATTCTGTGAGTTGGACTATGTCAGGCTGTTGCTTGACTAGTCTGTGAGATAGCTCTTCCAATTTTGGCACTAACCCCCAGATGTTAGTGAGGAGGACTTTGCATGGTCGACAGGGCCGTTTCTGCTGTAGCCTTTTCTGGTGCGAGATTGATGCCAGGTGATCCATCCAGTGTCATTTCTTTAAACAGTGACTCCTAGTTCTGCAAAAATCCTTTCTATATCCAGACTGTCAAGACCTTTCAAGTTCTTGATTGTTCAATCAAGTCACCTGTCACTCTTCTAAATTGCACTGAATACAAGCCCAGCTTGTCCTCCATAAAATAACATCATAGTTCCAGGTATTGGTCTAATAAACCTTTTCTGAACTGCTCCCAATGCATTTACTTCATTAACTAAGGACACCAGTAGTGTACGTAGTACTCCAGATGGGGTCTTATCAATGCCCTGTGTAACTGAAGTATAACCTTCTCATTTTGTGATATTTGGACCTGCACACCAACTGTTTCTCTGCATCTCCGAGCTCTGCAATCTCTCACCATTTAGATAATGTGTTTTTTAGTTCTTCCTGTGAAAATAGCAAGTTGCACAATTGCCACATTGTACTCCATTTTTCAGACCTTTGCCCACATATTTAACCAATAGATCTCTTGGTGGCCTTTTTATTTCCTTTTCACAAATTATTTTCATACCTATTTTTGTCATCAGCAAATTTAGCAACAATTCCTTAAGTCCCTATATGCAAGTTATTTAAACAAATTGTGAAAGGTTGAGGTCCCAGCACTGATTCGCATGCCACACTGCTCATTACATCTTCCTTGTCAGAAATGACCCATTTATGCCCAGTCTCTGTTTCTTGTTAACGCGCCAATTTTCTATTCGTGCCACAGTATTACCCCATTCATGACAAGCTTCCATTTTCCCCAATAACTTTGGAGAGGGCATCTTATCAAATGTCACCTGGAAATCTAAGTGCAGCCCATCCAAGGGGATTCACACCGTTTTTACTTGTTCAAAGAACACAAGTAAAATGGTTGTGTGATTTCTCTTGAAGAAAAGCACAGCAAAGCACACAAAAGCGTGTTGACTTCACCTGATTGTCTTTAACTTTTCAAAGTCTTTAATAGTAACTTCTAACACTTTCCCTATGACAGGTAATCAGCTTGCAATTCAGTGGTTTCCTGCTTTCTGTCTTGCTCTCTTTTTGAACAAAGCAGTGACATTTCCATTAGATTGGAAAATAGTAGCCTTCCCTAAACCTGGGAAATGTTGGAAAATTAAAACAAACGCAATGACTATCTCACCAGCCAGAGGATAAAGTCCATCAGGACTTAAATGTGTCACTTTTTACTCTAACTCTGACTCTAACTTGCAGCCAGTTTTCTATCCAGGAACTATTTTCACTAACAAGTGATGCAACTTAAAACCACAATATTTTGTAAATAAAGCTTATAAAAAAGCGGTACTTCTACCAAAGATAATACAGTTAAAAGTATTACACAACATTTTTCCTGAGTTCTCAAAATAGTTTTCTTTGATTTAAAGATTTCAGATTGAAAAGGCCTTCTATTAGATTCTCGTCATCTTAGTCAGTGTTGCTTTAAAACCCCCTTTGACTACTGCTGACAAAACCTTTTACTTGGAAATTATTGGCTTGTGTAAAGATTGATGTCAATGCCAAAAAAATGAAGGGAATGCTTATGTTTTGGAGAAAAGTGCTACTTCAGTAGCACCCAAATAGTAAGGCCATTGTCTGATTTTTGATATTCACTTGTATACGGGAATTTTTTTCTGTCTTATTCACAATTGTAAATATGTTTTGACTGATGCCCGTATTTAAGAGTTCTTAAAGCACAATTGGGTACAAAGTGGATTTCCAGAAATTAATTAGAAATAAAGTTTGTTCAAAGTTTCATTGATTGGTGTGGTTTATTGCACCAGGTACATTTTAGTTGTTAAAATGAGGAGAGGTATTGACATTACCCCCTGAAACCTGATCTGCTATTCAGTTATGTCGTGGGTGGTCTTTGACCTAACTTTGTGTATTTGCCTTTGTTCATATCCTTAATATCTTTGGATAATAATCTATCAATCTCAATTTTAAAATTAAAGAATAGTCAGCATCTGCCTTATGCAGGAGGCAGTACCACACTTTTATCACCTGTTATGAAATGCCTGGCTCCAAATCATACACTGTGTCCCTTAGGAATAACTTGACAATAATTGGGAATAATTTCTTTCTATCCCAGTTATAAAATCATAGAAATCACAAAACCATACAGTACTGAAGAGTCCATTCGGCCGATCGATCTGCACTGCCAAAAATATACCCTTTCTTAGGTTGGTCCCACTTTCGTGTATTAGGCCCATGGCCATGAATATCATGACACTTACTTCAGGTGCTCATCCAAGTACTTTTTAAAGGCTGTGATGTTTCCCACTTTAAATACCCTGCCAGGCAGACACCCACTATCTATTGGATGAGAGAGCTTTTCTTTAAGCCACCTGCCTATCACTTTAAAATTGTGCCCCCTTGTTGTTGACCCTTCAATTAAGGAGGAACAACTGCTTTCTATTCACCCTGTCTATGCTCCTCAATCTTATGCACCTAGTCAAGTCCCCCCTTGGCCTTCTGTTCTCGAAAGAACAAACCTGAGCTTATCCAGCCTCTCTTTTATACCTGAAATGCTCCATCTGAGGCAATACTGGTGAATCTCTTGTGTACTTCCTGCAGTGCAATCACACCCTTCCCATAATGTGGAGACTAGTACTGCATACAGCACTCCAGCTGTGACCTAATCAAAGTCCTGTATAGCTCCAACATAACTGCCCTGTTCTTATAATCTGTGCCAAAACTGATAAAAGGCAAACATCCCTTATGCTTTCTTAACTACCCTATCAACCTGTCCTGCTGCCTTGGATCTGTGGACAACCTCCCCAAGACCCCTCTGTTCCTCATGTCCTGCCATTCATTGAGTACTCCCATATCTCGTTCTTCCTTTCAAAGTACATCATTTCACATTTATCGGGGTTAAATTTCCATCTGCCACTGATCTGCCTGTTTGACCAATTGGTTTATATCCTTTAACCTAACACCTTTCTCATTACAATCAACAGTCCAGCTAGTGTTTGTCATCCACAAATTTGGCTATCACCACTGCCCCCACCACCCCCACCCACCCAAAACTCCATCCACCACCACCACCACATTTTCATCAACATCATTTATGAATACCACAAACTGTAAGTGACCTGGGTAACCCACTGATCCTTATGGTGCACCACCAAACTGGGTTCCAGTAACACAACAGCCTTCTAAAACCACCGTCTGTCTCTCCTCGAGCCAATTTTGGATCCAACGTGCCAAGTTCCCCCAGATACCATGAGCTTAACCTTCTTTATCAGTTTCCCACGTGGGACCTTGTCAGAGGCTTTGATGAAATTCAAAAATCTATATCAACTGTCTATCCTCATCCATGTACTTCGGCAGCTCTTCAAAATTCCACCAAATTTGTCGGGCATGACCTACCTCTGACAAAGCCATGCTGACTATCCCTGACCAAACCTTGCCTCCCGAAAAAGATTAATTTTCTTCTTCAAGATTCTCTCCATTAATTTCTCGACCACTCATGTTAATCTTACTGGTCTGTTGTTCCCTGATCTATCTTTAAACCCTCCTTGTCTTTCAGTCCTCTAGCTCCTCCCCTGTGGCTATAGCTGGTTTTAAAAGTTTGGGTCAGGGCCACTGTAATTTCATTCCATATTTCCCAGCAGCCTGAGATATATTTCATCCAGACCTGGCGATTTGTCCACTTTTAAATCCACCAATACCTCCTCACTACTTATATATAAATCTACTGAAGAACTTCATAGTCCATGCTTCCTTTTGTACCTGTAATATGTTTCTTTTTGATCCAGTCCTGAATATTCCTAGACCTTTCGGGTTCTATGGGCTTGTTACTCCTACATTGCACGCAATGGGGAACATGTTGGGTCTGTTCTCCTCCCAGTACCTTTGTGAATCCTTCCCACTGTTTTGCTGTATATTTCCCTCTCAAGTGGCTGTTCTCAGTCTGTTTTGGCCAGGTCTTGACTTTTTTATTTAAAAAAAAGACCAAAAGAACTGCAGATGCTGTAAATCAAAAACAACGACAGAAAT